GAAATTGGTTGCGGGCTGCCAATCTCCATTCTCGACGTCCATATCCTGGGCCAATATTGACGCCGTTTCATCAACATCAGCGTCTGTTGTGGGCCCAACGTCACCCCCGATGGACCCAGAGAGACTGGAATTGAGTTGTCTTTAGTGATAAATCCAGGTTTACCCTCAGATTCGTGGACGGCAGGCATAGAGTCTGGAGACGTCGTCGTGAACGGTATGCCCAATGATTGTGTACAGGAAGTTGACAGATTAGTGGCTGAAGTTGCATGGTGTGGGGTGCTTTATGTGGGAAAAACCGTTCCGACTTCTGGTCATCCGTGGAAACCTCACAGCTGCTGCTTACCGCGAACAGGTGCTCACCCCTGAACTCGTTCCTTTCATGGCGGTTCATGGCCCAGGTCTACAGTTCCAGCATGATAATGCTCGGCCGCATACCACGATGTTGACGCGAAATTTCCTTCAAAACGCTGGAATCAATGTCATGGACTGGCCATCGAGGTCCCCTGACCTTAATCCAATAGAGCATGTTTGGGATGCACTTGGGAGAAGGCTTCGTGGTCTTAGGAACCAACCGCAGAATTTTCAGGAACTTGGCTGCCCTTGCAAGAGCAATGGCGCCAGAATCCCCAACCACGTGTTCACAAGCATCAGGCAGTCGATGAGGCGGTGTTTTGGCAGTGTTTGGCAGTGGTGTGAATGGTGCGGGGCGGCCATAGACGATATTGAACTGAGAAATTTCGCATTTTTATTCTTGTGACTTGACATTCTGTATTCCCATGTTTTGGAACCGTGGTGTAGCCTAATGGAACTGATTATGGCACTGTCAGTGTATTGAGTACATCACACAGATCTCAGCAATGAAATAATAACAATTTAACCATCTTACCATCTCTTGTTCTTTTTATAGTGCCCTGGAGAAATAATGTGAAGTTTCTTTTTGACTCAGTATAAAAAATCACTCCTCAATAAAACATTAATTGAATTATTGATTGCGGATAACATACCAAATATATGAAGGGTAAATTTTGATTCACTGAATATGCAAATTAATCGTAAGAATGTAGATGAAACAGCTTAGATCAATAATTCAATTACATCATGAGCGGAGTGGTGAGTGAATGAATGGGTTATTGCTCTTATTTGGTACACAAATATTGGGTATTGACGGTACAAATTTATCACGACAATAACCAGTGACAACATCAATGAATTAATACATAAGAGTGTTGACCGACCCTGCCTGGCTTGGATGCATTCCATTTTGCATATCACTTTTTGATAAATTAAATCAAACTTAAGAAAAACACTCCATTTTAAAACATTTAAAGAATATTTAATTCCGGTGATGTGGACAACAAATCAAATTCATGAAGGGATATGGTTTTGATTCACTGAATATAATTGAGTTAATCGTAGGTGAATCAGCTACAAGTGCCTAGATCTCATGGCCTTGATCATGTCAGCTAATGTCATGAGTTCAGCTGGATGTGGTGGCGTGTCAGCTAGATGTCATGGCATGTCAGCTGGATGTCATGGTGTGTCAGCTAGATGTCAAGGCATGTCAGCTAGATGTCATGGTCATGGCATGTCATGGCATGTCAGCTAGATGTCATGGCGGTGTGTCAGCTTAGACGTCATGCGTGTCAGCTGGATGTCATTTCATCAGCTATGATGTCATGGATGTCGTGGTCAGCTAGATGTCATGGCGTGTTAGCTAGATGTCATGGCGTGTTAGCTAGATGTCATGGCGTGTCAGCTAGATTTCATGGCGTGTCAGCTAGATGTCATGGCGTGTAGCTAGGTTGGTGTGTCAGCTAAATCATGGCATGTCAGGAAGTGAAAGGAAGGAAATCCTGAAGTGAGGCACATGTCACTACACTACCCATGAGTACAGGAATCGTGCTGACAAAGCAAGAAACAGAATTTGAGCAAACCAGAAATCAAACAGCCATAGGTGGCAGACAAAATGGAGGCCTTGTGCCATTAGTGGCAGCAGTTTGATCAGGAAGAATAAACATTCTAATAGAAAGGTGAACTTGTCCTGCAAAACATCAGTTTCATTGCAATCATATGTAACATCTGATTTTGTTCTCCACTGGTATTTCAAGAAATCCCAGTGCCCAACACCACTTGAATATCAATGACCTTTAGACATTAAATAGGTTGTTGAATAGAGATCACTGTGACTCTTGTTTCCTGAATTCAACCACTGCAATCCTGTGGTGCTGTTTGACTGGTGTAGTTAGTGAGGCTGGTGAACAGTTTGTAGATAACTGGTCAATGAAGGATGCCCTCCCATCTCAGCTACACGTCTGATATCGTCATTACTGTCTGTCAGAAGTGTCAGGTCAGCTTTGTGCTGTATTAGGAGGTCAACCACATCTTTATGTCCATAGAAGGCAGCCTTCAATACAGGTGTGTATCCAAGTCTCCCTCTACTGTTGATGTTAGAAGGAGACAGGAGGCGTTGTACTATAGCAGTGTTCCCACCACGACAGGCAAGATGAAGTAAACTATCACCAGATGTAGACACCAGTGTCAGGTCAGCATGGTTGGACACAAGCATGGTTGGACACATTCATGACTGGAGTTCAAAACACTTGTGATGTCCACCCCTGACAGCTGAAGTACCATTGTATCCACCAGTGTCGAGATCCAGCTTGCATCAAACTCATGTCCTTGACAACTAATGCGTGCTGGTGTGATGTTACTGTTGATGTTAGGGGAGACAGGAGGTGTTGTACTATAGCAGTGTTCCCACCCTGACAGGCAAGATGAAGTAAACTATCAACATATGTATCCACCAGTGTCAGGTCAGCATGGTTGGACACAAGGAGGTCAAACACACTTTGATGTCCACTGACAGCTGCATTCATTGCTGCCGTCCATCCATGTCTCCCTCTACTGTTGATGTTAGAGGGAGACAGGAGGTGTTGTACTATAGCAGTGTTCCCACCACGACAGGCAAGATGAAGTAAACTATCACCAGATGTATCCACCAGTGTCAGGTCAGCATGGTTGGACACAAGGAGGTCAAACACACTTTGATGTCCACTGACAGCTGCATTCATGACTGCCGTCCATCCATGCTCACCTCTACTGTTGATGTTAGAGGGAGACAGGATGTGTTGTACTATAGCAGTGTTCCCACCACGACAGGCAAGATGAAGTAAACTATCACCAGATGTATCCACCAGTGTCAGGTCAGCTTGATTGGACACAAGGAGATCAAACACACTTTGATGTCCATGGACAGCTGCCTTCATTGCTGGTGTCCATCCATGTCTCCCTCTACTGTTGATGTTAGAGGGAGACAGGATGTGTTGTACTATAGCAGTGTTCCCACCACGACAGGCAAGATGAAGTAAACTATCACCAGATGTATCCACCAGTGTCAGGTCAGCATGGTTGGACACAAGGAGGTCAAACACACTTTGATGTCCACTGACAGCTGCATTCCTGACTGCCGTCCATCCATGCTCACCTCTACTGTTGATGTTAGAGGGAGACAGGATGTGTTGTACTATAGCAGTGTTCCCACCACGACAGGCAAGATGAAGTAAACTATCACCATATGTATCCACCAGTGTCAGGTCAGCTTGATTGGACACAAGGAGATCAAACACACTTTGATGTCCATGGACAGCTGCCTTCAATACAGGTGTGTATCCATGTCTCCCTCTACTGTTGATGTTAGAGGGAGACAGGAGGTGTTGTACTATAGCAGTGTTCCCACCACGACAGGCAAGATGAAGTAAACTATCACCATATGTATCCACCAGTGTCAGGTCAGCTTGCTTGGACACAAGGAGATCAAACACACTTTGATGTCCATGGACAGCTGCATTCATGACTGCCGTCCATCCATGCTCACCTCTAATGTTGATGTTCCAGGGAGACAGGAGGTGTTGTACTATAGCAGTGTTCCCACCACGACAGGCAAGATGAAGTAAACTATCACCAGATGTATCCACCAGTGTCAGATCAGCTTGACTGGACACAAGGAGATCAAACACACTTTGATGTCCACTGACAGCTGCATTCATTGCTGCCGTCCATCCATGTCTCCCTCTACTGTTGATGTTAGAGGGAGACAGGAGGTGTTGTATTACTATAGCAGTGTTCCCACCACGACAGGCAAGATTAAGTAAACTATCACCATATGCTTATCCACCAGTGTCAGGTCAGCTTGATTGGACACAAAGAGATCAAACACACTTTGATGTCCATGGACAGCTGCCTTCATTGCTGGTGTGTCAGCCATGTTCCCTCTACTGTTGATGTTGAGAGGAGACAGGAGGTGTTAATACTATAGCAGTGTTCCCACCACGACAGGCAAGATTAAGTAAACTATCACCATATGTATCCACCAGTGTCAGGGTCAGCTTGCTTGGACACAAGGAGGTCAAACACACTTTGATGTCCACTGACAGCTGCATTCATGACTGCCGTCCATCCATGCTCACCTCTAATGTTGATGTTAGAGGGAGACAGGATGTGTTGTACTATAGCAGTGTTCCCACCCTGACAGGCAAGATGAAGTAAACTATCACCATATGTATCCACCAGTGTCAGGTCGGCTTGCTTGGACACAAGGAGGTCAAACACACTTTGATGTCCACTGACAGCTGCATTCATGACTGCCGTCCATCCATGCTCACCTCTAATGTTGATGTTAGAAGGAGACAGAAGATGTTTCATGACAGCCTTGTTGCCACCTTGACAGGCAAGATGAATAATGTTATTGCAATACCTATCTTTCACATACAAGTTTGAGTTTTTGCATAGTAACTCAAAACAACCTTCTGATGCTGAAAGTGCTGCAACCATGACAGGGGTTCGGCCATTCACATCAACAGAGTTTATAACATTATCTCCAGGTTTCCTATTTAACAGGAATTTCAGGGATTTTTCCATTCCTGTCTTACAAATCAGATGGAAAATGTTTTGTAACTTCTTGTCTCTAGTGTTAACATCAGCACCTTCCTGGAGCAGATACACTAGAATATCAGAGCTGCCATTTTCAGCAGCCTGCAACAGAAGTCTGTTCAGTGTCAATTGATGATCATGTTTTTCAGAGCGAATGAAGAGCCATTTCAAAACTGTCACATTGTTGCTTTGTGCACACCCTTCCATACCTTGACTGATCGCCTCTTTGAGAGAATCTCTTCTCAGTTGTGTGTTCTATATCTGTAGCTAGATGTGCATTATGTCCAAGAACTTGCCCTTTTAGTACAGAAGACATTTTCCTTTTCTCTCTCCTGTGAAACCAAAGTTCATCTTTAGAATCAGTTTGATTATGCGGATGGTGCTGCCTTGTCCCATCACACTGAAGTTTGTTGAGCAGTTTAAAAGCTGTTGTGTCTCGTTTGAGAACAGGATGTGTCACTGATTGAGAAAACTTTCCTTGTTTAATAGAATGTGCAAACCTTGTGGTAAGTATGTCATCATAATTATCTGAGACATATATCAGATGGAGATGGTCATCAACTGTTGTTTCTTCAACTTTTTCACCTTGTACTCTCTCAAACAGGAAGTCATCATTACAGTTCTTCAAAACAAAGACTGGACTGATATTGAACAAGGCACAGGCACAAGCATCATAGACTGAAGAATGGGCAAAGCCAACAGTGTCTCCTCTTGTGAAGAATGTACCTCTAAAACTTTTAGCGGCTTTGTACATGCCTGAACGTGTAGTATTTGGCATCAGGTCTTGAACAGTTTTGACCATCCTGTCCATATCCTTGTCTTCATCTCCACTGTCTAACGTGGTCAGGTTCAATTTGTCTTCACACAGCAGCATCAGAACCAATATGGCAGCTCTATCATTTCTGTCTTCAAGTAACTGCTTCAGTTCTAACCTGAGATAAAAGAGTGGTTCCTTGACAAATGATTTTGCATTTTTAAAGAAAGGGGAAAGTTCACAACAAAGTTTACAAATGAGAGGAAATCCAAAGATGTTGGAACAGATTTCCAGCTCATTGTAATCTGGAATATGTTGCACAGAGCAGTCACCAAGAGGATGCCTATGCCGTTCAAATATTGATTTCTTCTCTTTGTCAGAAAGCCTGTATTGTTCTTGTTTTGTTAAGTCCACTACTGTCTGACCCTTGAACAATTTGAAACCCTCATACTGCAGTTTTGCAAGTCCATCATGGAAATTGTAAGATTTTGATGTGAAGACAACATGAATGTCCTTTGTTTGAGATTCTGTTAAACTTTGCACTTTGTTTCTGAATTTTTCACCAGCATCACTGTTTTCACTAAATTCCGACCGTTTCTCTTCTGCTCTCTGCTTTTGTTCTAAATGGGGGAGAAGATTGTTCAGAAAGTTTTTAACCTGTGAAGTATTAGCAGATACTCCAACTGTACCAAACAAATCGTCTACAATCAGAAATACTCTTGAGTAAGTATTAAGACATCGGTCAAAGTCAAACTTCTTAAGGCTGTCGACAAACACGACTTCGTACCTCTTTTGTCTATACTGTGAACCCAACACCAGAGCCATTGTTGTCTTGCCTTCTCCTGAAGCGCCACAGATAGTCACATGACCAAATTCCTTCAACTTCTGTTTCACTTTTCTGTAGGCTTCAGTTGGAGCAAAAATCTTCCTTGCTTCATCTGTGCGTAAATCAAGGGTATCTGAAAGGGAAACATTTGTTTACCATCCCCGCAAAGACTTCGACGTAAACATAAAATGACAAAATATTCACTTATTTCTGTTGTGTGTGGAACATCCTTTAGTTATGTCTCATCCAAAGAAAGCGATATTTCAACTCCACATTTAAGACTACTTTGAACTGAACACAAAACACCAACATGCTTATTCACTGACAAAAGCTTGTGGTATCATTGTGAAAGCACAGCAAAATTGACACAGGGTGTGTACTAGTTGTTTTATATACAGATACATGATTCAAGATTCATTAGTTTTGCAAGATATGTCAATACATCAGGAGTTTATATACGATGTATTCTTCTATCAAACATTTCAATCCATGTGGGTGACAGGTAGGACCAGGGAAACAACATGGTGGTATGCACAGATTCTGTCCCTGAGAAACTGAGAATGGTAATAGTCTTGAACAAGATCTAGTCACTTACTGTCCCTTCCGCCATCAACACTCACCTCTCCCCAGTGTTCCTTGTCCTGCCCCTCCAGTGACGATGTTGATCATGTTGGCAGCTTGGGCGTTCCCTGAAGGATGTTCATCTGTCAACACCAGCCAGGGAGGAATCATCAGTAACCATGGTAATCAAAACCTGAATTAATCAGGTGTTTTCTTTCCACATTGAATAACATTATTTCATATTACTGCAGGGCGAAAAGTTGGGTTTCTATCATTCTGAAGACGTTCACTTTTTTCATGATGATAAAACTTATCCTGTCATAAACAATCGCTGCTGAGTTAAACATATTAATCAGGAATCATAAAATTCCACAAACTGTCTTGGCAGATGCTCTGTCAGCTCCTCAACAGACTGACACAAAGAGTGTAGCAGATCAAGTTGGACATAGAACTGATTCATATACTGTATTCAGAAAGCAAACAAGTATTGTTCAAAATAGACACCTCTCCTCATAATTATACTCATGATGAATTGAAATGTCTTTTGAATGACAGACTGACATAATTCTTGGATATTATCAAGATCGGGGTACAGCCGTGAAGATCCTGGTTAGAATTGGTCTTCCGCAACCCATACTTGTCGTAAGAGGCGACTAACCAGTAGTGGATGTAACATGTACACGAGACGGTCCCCCATTACTCGTACAAGTGACTACCTGAGAGGGTGTGGTGTTTCTGCTTTCCCGAAAAACCTGTTTATTCACGACTGTCAAGTAACCACCACGCTTGAGGATTTTACGGACGCTTTAATCATCGCGCATCGTGTTTACACGTTGATTGAATCAAGCGCTTCAGGTTGTATCGCAGAGCGCACCCATCTCACGTACAAGAGATCATAGTCCATCTCGCGTACACGTTACGTCTCGGACTGTTACCAGGATTCAGGGGTCAGGCTTACTGACTTGGTTGACACATGTCATCGTATCCCAGTTGTGTAGATTGATATTCATGCTGTTGATCACTGGATTGTCTTGTCCAAACTATTCACAGACCACTGCCAATTAGCTGGAATATTGCTGTGTGTGCCATTAAACAACACAAACACAAATCCTCATGTTAAAACAGGCTGTGAACATCCTGTGAACATTTCAGAGCAATGTGTCTTATAGTTCTGAAAAAGGTGTGAGCCTTAAAAGTTGTATTCTCCACTAAATTGAAGTGACAAAACATCCATCTGCTAGAGACCGCCTCCGTTGTGTAGTAGTTAGAGCGTCCGCCTGGAGAGTGGAAGGTCGCGGGTTCGAATATTCTCAAGTACGACGTTAAACCCAATTTCACCTCACTCCACCTCCTAGAGGCTATAACAGTCGATATACAATTCTGACTGCTCATAAATCGGAGTCAAATAGTGATTATACCAGGTGGTCACGAAAAGGTGGGCGTATCCTGCCTTATCAGCTTCACCTGTCATAAATACATGCAAAGGCTAGTCAATTGTTCACCTGAATAACATTGGGTGTGTCAGCCAGTTGGAATTTTTGAAAACCGCAATATACCTTATTATAGTTTTTATTTTAATTGGGCGATTTTGACAAGGCCTGTATGTTTTTACATGCAAAGTGGAGTTCACAGTACAAAGAGACAAACAGGTGGAAAAAAGTACAACAATGACGAGCTGAGTGAAATTTGACTGATGTAAAATATTTGAATTGGAATATTAAAAAGAATGAACAGGACACCTTAGTTTGTTTTATTTCATATAAATGTCAACTCAGATGACAACCCGGAGGACAAGAGTGACACCCACCTGTACTTAGTGTGATTGCTTTGCTCTCCAGCTCAAGGACCTCCCTGTGCTCAGCTGAACCTGCGGGTACCAAGAGACCTTCATGTTCGTCTGAACTGGATATGTCAATATCAGGAACTGGCAAGTCACCTCTCAAAGCTAACATGTCCATGTGACTTTCAGACTGCTCTCTGGAAGCGGCCATGTGACCTTCAGATGACTCACCAGAAGTAGCAACGCGAAATTCAGAAAACTCATTGGAAGTTTCCATGTGACCTTCAGATGGCTCACTGGAAGTGGCCATGACCAGATGGTGTCCACTGTCTTCATCTCTACTGGCCATCACAAGTTCACCTCCTCACTTCACCGTGCTGTCTGTGAAAATAATGAGGAATCTAAACATGCTATGACAATAAGTAAGCTGGTCTGACAACACTGTTCCAAGGGCTCTGTAGCTCACCCACTATTATTGAATGTCCTTATACAAACTTTAACAAACAACCTCACTGGACTCACTGGTTTGCTGATGAAAGAATTATAATGGCGATGTCAAATTCCATCATATGTCTTGGTTGTCCATGATACAAGTCAAATTCAGGCAAACATTCAGCCACCCAGAAATATTCACTAAACAGTTAAATAAACTATCTGGAAAAACGTACATTAAACCAAGACTTTTCTTTTTGTATTAAGGTATTTGTATCCTATTTTGATTGAAAGTGAGGTGAAATTGGGTTTAACGTCGTGCTTGAGATTATTTCGCTCAAATGACGACGTGCGTGTGTATGCGTATGTGCGGTTGCTTGTACTAGCTCAGACTTAAGCTGGTTTTATAGTGCTAGCCCACTGAAATACCACGCCACAGTGAAGCCTGAATACCCCACTCAGATACATTATACTGACTCCAAGCCGACCAGGGATTGAACCTGCGACCTTCCGCTCTATTTTGATTGGATAAAACTGCAACCTTTCATGATAATAGTATGCTATGCCTGACAAAGGTGAATACCCTGCTGATGCTTTAAATCTTCTCAAACTAAAACTTTTGGTAAACAAATGCAAGTACCAGTGAGGAACTGGGTTAGAACTGGTCTTCAGCAAACCATGCTTGACTATTAAAGAGGCGACAACGGGATTAGGTGGTTAGTTTCGCTGACATGTCATTGTATCCCAATTGCATTGATTGATGCTCATGATGTTGATCACTGGATTGCCTAAGTTCATGCTTGCCTAAGTTCAGGTTCCTCAGTTTTGGAAGTGATTATGTTTACACAAGCAGAGGAGGGGCCAATGTGGTCAAAACACATAAATGTTAATCAAGGTGAAAGTAAATACAGTCAAATCTCGATGAGTCGAATGCTGTTGTCTCAAACATTATGCATAACTCGAAGTACCTGTCAGTCCCGACCATTCCCTGTTATAGTTGTCATCATTTGAATACCAGTTACACGAATTCGTCTCAAAAATACACACGATGACTCAAGAAAATTTGGTCCCATGAGATTCAAACAGCAATCTTGTATACATAAGCCGAAGTCAGTCAATGAGAAGTTGACTGGTGTAGCAAACTGATCCAATTAACAAACCAGCGCGGCTCACACCTTTTCGCCTATGACGGGCGATTTCAAAAAGCAGATTAGTGATGGAAATCACTGTCTGTGCTAATCAGACTAGAACTGATAAGGTGCCCCTAATTAGTAATAGGGAAGTCATTAGATAAACACATGCTTAGGCGGAGGAATTTGGACTGGATCATCTTTTTTTCTACCCTCATAGATATACCTATGTCTCAAATACATCGATAAGTCGAATTTATTACTTGGTCCCCAGAGATTCGACTCATCAGGATTCGACTGTAGTAGAAAAACAAATCTTCTGCAGCTGTTAACTTCATTCCATTTCATTTTAAGTGATGGCTTAATCTTTACAAATGTATTTCAAAATGGCTGCTCCAAGCTGGTTCAGTTTCAGCTTATTTGTCCACTGGGAAGCTTAGTTTCAAAACATTTATAGTCCAGTAAAATTAGTGGAAAAATCACTGAACCTCCAAAATATTGGTACAGAAATGGTTGTGTGTTCATATCATTTATAATAGTTATGTAAACAATATATAAAAAGTCCTCCCTTGGATGTTGATGCTAAGTGGGTGGCTTTTTGGGGGTAAAAACTATGAAAAATGGTATTTTTCAATTATTTTTATCTATCTGAAAACAAGTCCAGAAAATGGTACAAAATATTGAAAAACATACAACTGAGGTGTACAAAACAGTCAATAATGATAATTAGAATCGAAAAAAAATTACGACATGAGGTTTGAACTTGGATTGTGGACACTCCAGCGCACAGAAAACGAGTTATCTCCCTTTCGTTTACAATAGATTGAAGTAGCAGAATGGAAGAAAAGGTTCTATCTTTAATTAAACTTAACTAGATGATACTATATTTAGCCTAATAGATAAATGATAAAAAGGACAGCTGAAACCTACAATTAAAAGAGATGAGGATTGAGGTGATTCAGCTCCCATAATTAGCCAACAGGGCTACATGTATATCAGAGACCATATATGGTCTCTGATGTATATGCACTGCGGTCATGTAAGACTACGCACCTAGGTGATAAATGGGACATTCTATATCAAGATTTAACAGAACTTGAAGAAACATATGCCAGAATGATAAATTAGGAAAATATTATAACATTTATATTTTCTATGCTATCAGTTTTAAAACAATTTTAAAAGGTGATCGGAGCATAAGCACTGTTCTCTATTAACTTTACACATATTATTATGTGTGCAGAATTGAGTGAGCCCTAGCAAATATTTATTGTATAACTGGTATTTTTTTATCTGATTTGAAATCTCAGCAACTTTTTAAAAGCGGACTGAAATCTACATGAAAAAAACTTGAAATAGATTCACATAAACTGGACATATAACACATATTTTTAATGAAAATCAAACCAATCTTTTTCTTAAAATTGGAAAAATCATTTACTTTTACGCTGCACTCAGCAATATTCCAGCCATATGTCGGCGGTCTGTAAATAATCTAGTCTGGACAAAACAATCCAGTGATTAACAGCATGAGCATCGATCCATGCTTATGAAGTCAGCGAGCCTGACCACCCGATCCCTCTAGCCGCCTCTTACGACAAGCATGGGTTACTGAAGATCAATTCTAACCCAGATCTTCACGGGTGCTGGGCTACTTGTTAAAAGATCCAGGGAAGTCCTTTTTAGTGCAAGTAAAAAAGAAATAATATCAGTATTTTTGAAGCTGAAATTACTAAAGGACAAATACTTTAAGCATTTCAAATACTTTAATAGTAGGTGGTGCATGCTTGTTTATCAACCGTGTTAAAAGTTTGCTCAGGAAACGGAAAGATTTCTGACTGACCCAGGTGTTGATGCACTTAGAACTACAAATCCGACAAACTCGCACCATTTAACAAAGTTTATTCACTAGAGCATATTCGTCATGTTCATTTATGAACGTTGTGGCATTTGGTTGTACGGGTGACAATTTGGCAATATAACCTTGACATTGAAGTCCACATGTCAAGGGACGGTTAGAAACTGTCGGCACAATACTACACAAATCCATGAATTGGTAATAAGCTGGTCTCTTCCATTAGCCTTTAGATAGACCATTGTTCATTAAATGGCAAGGTTCAGAAACTAAAAAAGAAACAAAAAATACCTTACTAAATATGCTTTGACAAACAGTACCATAAAACAGTTTCTCACAATTAATTACTTACAGCAGCATAACTTTAAGGCATAATTACTGCTGTGTTAGTAGTTCCCTTGGCTGAATGATAATTCAAATGAAACATGAATTGAGAATAGAATTATTTCTGCAATGAAATGCAAACATTACTTTAGAAGTCAAATTCCTATTCAATAACCATAAGCGTGATAAAATACTATACTCAAAATAAGTCATTACTCAAACCTTCAGAATTGACAGATAACCTCAAATACATGAAATAAACTTACATTTGTGTTCCAACACTCTTGTCATTCACACCAGAGACCATCTCTGTTCACACATCTGTACACCTTGAGGCCTTCCACTGTTATGCCATGTGGCTGGATTGCATGAACTGCACATGCTTTGGGTCACATGACCACACAATGCCCTGGCTCCTCTCTAGACTTACTGCTAGGCTCTTATGTAAACTGATTACATGAAAAGACCATTGCAATTACTTCTTGCTTTTTGATAACTTGTTAGAATATAATTGAAATATAATTTAAATGACAGAAAACTACTTTTGGAAAAGAAAATTATAAAAACAATTTGCAATTAGCATTGAAAACAAAATCTGCATTCACAACAGGGATGACTATATGTCCCATGGTATTACATGTCACTGCCAGTAATTGTCATGAAATCCTGTACAATTCGATGTATGGGTTAGTGAAAAAACTATTGAAAGCACCATTGAATCAAATCACCTCACCCAACCACATCTTAAATATTCAAGTTAACCTGTACACAGGTGAACCCTTCAAATTATTGGACTTCTTTCACTCAGAATATCTTCTGTTACTGTTAAGTTTTGCTTGGAATAGCATTCTCACCAAGCATGATACTCAGAATTAATTCAGCTATACAGACTGTGAGACCAAGGGTATCTCTGTCACCCCATTTTACAAGCCCTTGGTGTTCAGGGTCACCATCACTACAGTTCAAGCCACCCGAGAAGTTAATTAATATCTTGTTCAGTTATTACTGTCTCTAGTTACAGAAGTAGGAGCTTAATGCAACGCTTCCAAAATTGTGTGTAAACAGGGTCAGTTCATTCCATTTGCAACAGATAATGTAGATCAATCTGAGAACATGGATTAACCCATACCGATGACGTTTCTGCCAATAAGCTGACTGTTTGCCAAGGTTGCTGAGGTGTTGATGTGCTAAATGTGATGGGTTCATATGTCCTTTACCAAGCCAGAGCTCCAGATAAGATTTAGCTCATGTGGGTACTGTACCCACTGTATTTTTATGGAGTGGGTATTATGAATGTTGAGTGGGTATTTCATTTTCTGTTACCCACTGCTTTCTAATATGTGCTTACTTCAATCATTTTACTCACCTAAGTATTATGTCATTGAGTAAGTTTACTAAGCAGGTATGTTCTGCCTTATGTCACACCTAATCAAAACCAACTTAAAGGTCACATGCAACGTAAAACACAACTTTGCAGATTCTGATACCTTTCGGTAAGGACATACCGAAACAAATCGTCAAAAAATGCAAATTCAACTTATAAAGTTGAAAAATAACGCGATGAAAAAAAACGCGCGAAATCGGAGTTCAAACGTTTCACTAATTTTCCCCAGACTTTTCTGGGGAAAACGGGTTTCAACAGCTGGGCTGCGCTCATAGCACGTGCGCAAGTAAATAGGTTCGCGCAGCTTGGAAGCGGGTTGTCTGGTGAATACTCGGTGAAGGCTTTGGTGTGAGCTATTTTTCTAATGTTTTGTTGATATCTCACAGGCGCGAGCTTTTTTATATGTTATGACAGTAAATTACTGACCACATGCAATTTGAACTTAACACCAATCAGGCTATACACCATAAACAAAACGCATTGATTTATGGCCCGAGTTCGGTCTCTGTCACATTATGTAATTACACAGACAGGCAGGTGTGATACTTGAACACATGTCATGTTATGATGTCTGTTGATTGCAAAATGTTAAACACAAAAAATGAGCCGTTACACTTGAGTGCACACCCACCCGCTCTGACTGGGTTCGGTATCCCGGCTGCTTCGTTTCGAGGGAGGTAAACCCAAGTACAAAATATTGCACTTTTGATTTGCGATTATACGCTTATAATTTTGTTTATTTGTTTTTTCATAATCAGCAGTGCATATTATATGTCATGAAGAAGTGATAATTGTGTTTTAATTATATTTGATTTTTTGGTTGCATGTGACCTTTAAATATAATGGAAATCACTCATCCTACAACACTTGCCCTATACTAACAGTATAATTTGATAGCAATCGATGTCATTTTCATATCCAAGCGATTTTTATAAATATATTTTAAACTTTTTGTGTATCTAACATTTTAAATGCGTAATTAGTACGCAACAATTATTTTTCAATGCGTAAATGGGAATTTTCTATGCGTATTTTACCCGGATACGCAGCTTTTCTGGGCCTCTGCCAAGCAATTCGTTCAGACTTTGCTAAATCAAATTGCTTGATGTCTTGAACAATTCATGTAGAATATAAAATGAATCACTAGATTGTACCATTCTCAGTATTGAGTTATGTCACCTATATGCCTATGTTCAAATTATGTGTATATATAAAGTAATCAGGAGCAAGTATATTAGTATTCAAAGTGTATTCACTACATGCAACACTCCATGTAACAATTGGCCTCCTCCGATATAACTAGCACTAGACTACACATACTTCTATATGCATATAAAGTGTGTACTGACTTCCGTTAAAACAAAAACCACCAACACACACACACACACACACACACACACACACACACACACACACACACAGAGGTCCCCAAGAAAATGCATGGAAAGTTGTTGGGGTTTTTTCATTTTGATAAAAAGTAAAACAGCTGGTTTATAACATTTTATAGACAAACAGAATAATGACTTTTGCTTTTAGTTCTCTTTCAGGTAATTCATGAGACAAAAAGAGAAGAGGAACTAAACTGCATGTTCCTGAAGTTGTGTTTATTTTACCCTTGAAAATAGAAATTATATGCTCTGAGAAGTCATTTATCTATGGTTTCGTTCAAATTATATTTTTCCAGCCCATGTATTAGTAGTTCTTTGTGTCCTCTTTGAAAATATACATATAAAGTACATTTGAGTCTCAATATGATTATTCTCTGAAAATTTCAACTTTTCAACTTTCTACCCCATAATAGGATTTAGCATAAATATTTGACTTTTCTAACCCATGTATTAGTAGTACCCAGTGTTCTCTTTGAAAATATCCACAAAAAGTACATATGTGTCACTATGAAAATTAAAAAAATATTCTCTGAAAAATTCAACTTTTTACTTTTAATTCAAAAATAGGACTAAACAAAAAGTAATTTGAATTTTCCAGAACATTTATTAGTAGTACCTTCTGTTCTTTGTTAAAATATACATACAAAGTACATATGTTTCTCGATATTAAATTTTAAAAATTCTTCTCTGAAAATTTAAACTTTTCAATTGTTTACCTCAAAATATGACTTCGTATAACATTATTGGACTTTTTCTAACTCATTTATTAGTAGTACCTTGTGTTCTCTTTGGAAATATACATAAAATGGTAAATTTGTGTCTCAATATGAGATTTTCAAAAATATTCACTGAAAATGTCAATTTTTTCAACTTTTTACATAAAAAAATAGGACTTAGCATCATGTTTCAAGGGAGGACCGTTTAGTACTCATTAGTTATATCTTAAACATGTTGAAAACACTGTAATCATTTCTATACCAGGTTTTGGGAGGTTTCATCACAGCTTGACTGGACTATTAGAAGCATGGCCAAGACTACTTCATATCATACAAAAACATGTGTTTAAGGGAGCAAGACTCACTAAAACCCAGAACTGTGACTCCCAACTATGGCTAAGCTACAGTTGATAGTTGAACTTTAAACTGCACCTCTGTCATTACCTAAATCTGAACAACACCCATTTATTAAATGATTGTAAAATTGTTGGTTGAACAAATTTGATGTGGGACTTTTATATCAAGTTCCAGAGATGTAATTTGTGATGATTATCGTTACATTAACAATATCAAAATGTAACTTTGCACTGCATCTCTCCTATAGATATGGAGATCCCCAAATTTTGCAAACAATTCCATTCAAATGTCATCAAGTTCTTGGCTGAACAAAACTTCTCTTGGATTTGAAATATGTAAATTGATACAATTCTTTAAAAAAAATTGAAATCAGGACCAAGCTTTGCAGACACCTCTCTCAGAAATACTTTTCAAGTTGTTGGTAGAAAAGTTCTTATATTGCTGTAATGTCTTTAGAAAATAAACATCATTATCATTTAGACTAAGAAGGTGATCCCAATTTAGTCCAAATTTGAAAACAATCTGACCAGTACTTTTCAAGTTGAACAGATATTTTAATGTTTAAAAAAATGAATATTATAATCACAATTTGCACTGCACCTCTCCTTCAAACAAGGAAGGTGATCACCAAATTTGAAAACAATCCAACCATTAGTTTTCAAGTTATCAGGTGAGAAGCTACCATTACATAAAAAGCGCTGGCTTACACTTGATTGTTGCTAAAAAGGTTGGGCAAGCCCTCAATACTATCTAAATATAAAACTTTGCAACCCATCGGGCTAACACAAAGCTTGCAGCGCTCTTGTTATTGGTTGAACAAAAATATTTCCCGACCGACAGGTTCATGGGTACAGCTATATATACCCTCGACCTGTCAAGGTAGGGGTAACACAAAATGTGGCTGAATAATCATAATGATAATGGCCATAAAAGAGTCTTTTCTGTTTGTCTGCCATGTCACCAATAAAACTGGGATGTCATGAAGCTTCAACTCCCTTTGTGTATTTCCAGAAAAGGCATTGGTGAAGCACAAACGACTTTCTGACAAGACGAACAGAGCTTAAATTGCAGCCATGTTGAAACTGGGTGAACATTCAGTGAGCGTTTAACAAGAGACACTGTATAATCAATATCGTTCATTCAAAGTTTCAGCTTAATAGTCATTGTGGTTAAAACAGGTAGATAATATCACTACAGGTGTACAATCGGACGGACACAAAATTGAGCCTATAGTGGGACTGTCTGACCTCGACATTACTCACTAACTGAACATTAATTCATGCCTGTATGATCTGCTTCACCTCGGGCGTATGTTTGTCTGCAGAGCATAATCTTCGGTACACAGATTTGAAAAACACTGTAGACATTACCAGCTAACTACATACACACCACTGAACCTATATACTCACGGCGCATGAAGTCAAGGCACACGTTGCACGCCTTCAAAATGTTGCGACATGGTGGACGGCGACCTGAAGCGATCGAGCGCACACCCTAAGCTGGTTCCCGGCTCCCTTTGCGCGCGCTGACGTTCGACAAAGCTATATTGCTATATGCGAGACGGGGCCCAGCTTAGCGCACACTCCTTCTTTCAGTACTTCCGTCATCCTACTTTCACTTTCACTTTCAGTGACTTCGTAGATCTACAGCAAAACGAGCTCCCGCCCCGTCTTCATTATGACCCTGTCATATCGATTGTCTTTCTGTCCCTGATATATAAAGGTATTTTGTGAGATTTTGTAACTACACCATTTACATGCACGCTTTTATAAACGGGAAGTATGAAAACGGGAAAACCAAAGCTATTTATAGTTTTGTCCCGCAGCGAATAGAAAACAAATTTCCATTGGTTGTTATTACAATTAATCTTCAGCTCATAGGCGGATCGGGGGTGGTGTGTGGTGGTGGTGTGTGTTCGACACACCCCTCCTCTTGAAAATGACTAAAGGCTCCATTGATGATTTTTTTTTTGTTGGCGGAGCCAAGGGGTGTTCAGGGTTCGACCCTTGAAGCCCCTCTTTCAAAATTACTGCATCCGCCCATGAAGCTGGTTCTCGCCTCTCCAGGAGCTTCATCTACGCCATACCCCAAAAATGCCGCGTGACACTGCAGTTCGATTGGTTCTCGTTCGTTCCCCTTTTCGAAAACTACATATAAGTACTTCAGGCTGTGTACAATCGTGACGTGAAGGGGGACTTACACGCATAGTCCTGGTCCAAGACAACTTTCGAGATGTCAGTTTTCTTTTCCACACTAAAATATTTGTTGTTAAACACCGCACCCAGCAATATTTATATTCCAGTTATATGGCGGCGGTTAGACTAACGCTTAGTCTCTGAATATATATAGAGATCCTGAACCAAGGGAGACCAGACATCCTGAACCTGAGGAAATCTAGACTTGTTTCATTTAAGGTTTTAAATAGCAGAGAGGGCTATGTAGTAGGGAAAATAAGGTGGTTCAGAGACTGTGAGACAGACTGTAAGCGGCGGTATGTCAGGCCGATTGTTAAAGACCTTTCAGTAACAAAAGGAATACCGCTTTTAAACCAATCAGAGCAAAGCATTCTTCAATATCAGGATATAACCCAGATTGGAATTGGTCACCAGTAAGCATGCCGACCGTTGGAGGTGACTTGGGGATCCTGTGGTCACGTTGGTTGACTGTTGTTTAATGCCGCACTCAGCAGTATTCCAGCTATATGGGGCGTTCGGTAAATAATCCAGTCTGGATCACACAATCCAGTGATTAACAGCATGAGCATCGATCTACGCAATTGGGATATGATGCGTGTCAACCTAATCAGAAAGCCTGACCACCTGATCCCGGTAGTCGCCTCGGATCTTCACGGGTGGTGAGGACGTTTGCTTTTACGCCGGTTTTAGCTATATTCCAGCAATATCACGACACCAGGCCCCGATTTCTGGAAACAAACATAAGTCAGAGTTTTTACTCAAATTTGAGAAAACGCAGGAAATGCATTTCCAGAATAAAATGAAATCAATATTAAACTCAAACTTAGTAGACACTTTGAGTTTGGTGGATAGATTACTTTTTTATTTAAAAAATGTAGTTGAGTTAAAAATTCAGCTGTTTCAAATTGTCAAACTCAGTTTGAAATTTGAGAAAAACTTAAGTTTGTTTCGAGAAATGGTGGCCAAAAATGGGCTTCACGCATTGTACCCATATGGAACATCGAACTCGAGTCTTCGGCGTGATGAGCGAACGCTTTAACCACTAGGTTATCCCACCGCCCCTTCACGGGTAGTGTGGTCACCGTCAGACTGCCTGACATGGCTGATTGCATGTTATCGTATGGAGATTGCGTAAGTGGATCTGTGCTTCATAATATCAATCACTGAAGTGTCGGGTCCAGACTGGGTTATTTACGCCGCCTACAGCCGAACCTGGCTGGCTGTTGCTTAGTGCCGCATAGCTCCATCGTGTCAGTATTGAGCTAAAATAACTATAGTTCTAATTTCATTTGGGTTATATTTTTAATTTTCACTATATTTGTTTCTTAATACCATAATCATATATGTTTTGCTAGTCTTCATTTGATAATGTAAAAAGGAATGCTTGCTACATCCAGAGATAGTCTCTGTGTTACATCTGACTGGGCGATAAGAAGTTCTGTAAGGCTGGGGATTCTTGCTGGATTGAATATGGTATTATGTTAAGCCATCGGAACATAACATTCCTTGGAGAGAGTATATTAAATTATAATAAAAGAGAATGAAACCCCTTGTACTAGTTTAGAATTCAATATGATATTTTCCAGTTTTTTCGCTTATCAGGCAGTTTTAATGGACTTCTGCTTGCCAAGCAAGGTTGTTTATGAGAGCACTAACTACTGGATTAACTAAATCAACTTGAAATGCTGCTTACAGTAATGGAATATAAACGAGACAATACATGGTGGAAGAATGTAGAACTATGATCCTAAAGGTCATGTAACGGGGAAAGACCCCCGGTCAAATCTCCATTTTATCTGGATCCAGTTAGTGGAAAACGTTGTGTTTAAAATGTGCTTCTTTCAATGTCAGTTTGACCCAGCAGGTAGGCTTGAATCATTTGAGAATTGATTGCAATATCTTTGCGTTAATGGGGATATGGGCTGCTGGTTTGTTGTTTAATGGCAAACAGCAACAGGGTTATAGGATGTGATAGTAAACAAATGATAAAAAAGCAATCTTTCACCTATATGGCGGCCTCGGTAAAAAATCCAGTCTGGATCACACAATCCAGTTATTAACAGAATGAACATCGATCTACGCAATTGGGATTCGATGACATGAGTCAGCCAAGTCAGAGAGCCTGACCATCCGATCCCGTTAGTCTCATCGCATCTTCACGGGTGGTGAGGGCGTTTGCTTTTACACACAACTTTTAGCAATATTCCAGCAATATCACGACGGGGAACACAAGAAATGGGCTTCACGCATTGTACCCATATGGGAAATCGAACTCGAGTCTTCGGCGTGATGATCGAACACTTAAACCACTGGGCTACGCCACCACCTCTTCGCGGGTAGTGTGGTCAGGTAGTCTGACTTGGCTGTTTGCCTGTCATCGCATGGTGTTTGCGCACGTGGATCTGTGCTTCATAATATCAATCACTGAAGTAAGCTGGGCCCCGTCTCTCATATCGCAATATACGAGCCGGTACAGGCCAAAGAGACGATGGCTGAGAAGGCCTACGAAAAGCCAACATTGACAATGTTATGTCATTTTCCATTGGTTGCTATTTTTAGACGGCCGCGCTGTCCTTCATCGGAAGACGTCCAAAACACATTTTGTATCGTTTTCAAAAATCGGTCATGCAGGCGCTTTAAAGACTTTTGAAAATATAAATTGTTCATATTTTCTGGAAACTTCTTTTTCAAAATCTTACTTTCTGTTATTGTACATATTTGATATCAATATTCACGAAAAATAATAGTAAACGTAAATATACGTTTTATTAGCGTGAAAGGACCGTCGCTTTTTAAATGCACACCCAAATTTCCCTATGCGACAAAGATTTTTATAATAAGCTTGTCAGAAAACTGAGCGAATAAAATCATCACTGATGTATGAACGACACAAATATGCAGGTAATTTATGCATGTGGACATCGGTCGAGACACGCATACAAATTAAATCTCGTATTGCAAATATTCAAACTTTCCTTGCGGATGACGTTAGAAAGGTATGTGTCTTAGAGTGGGTAGGTGTGCCAACACTGGCACAAAATCAGTAGTAAGGCGGTAAATGAATTTATAATATTTTGTGGCGGTATATAAGTATTGAATTATTCACTTAGAAAATGCTGAATGTGTCCTGAAGACACTTAAGTACAGCAACAAGAAAACTTTTGAGGCGATGCATCAACACCGCGGCAAACTCTTTGTTCATCAATTTTCACCAAATGGCAAAGATTAAATCAACATGGGTAGGCTTTTTAAGCCAACATGGTCTTGTCATCAATACAAAGTGGCTATATGAAATTGAGCAATATAGATAAGGTGTGAAAACGAAGGCGCAGCAAACTCTACTTGTTTTATAATGTAAACAAATCATCACAATTCAGATATTATACTGTGTACTTAATAGATTTATGAACGTTTGATAATTAGTTGGTTTGAACATGCTTTTAATAGGAAATTGACAATGTTGGTGTTGTATACAAAACCTCGTACCTTTAGACAAGTGTCAGCAGATCTAAATGTATTCTACATCTGAACATAATGTTATAGTCGGAGGACCGTAGATCCAATGCAACGTTCACTTTTCAGATCCTGTGAAACTGCGTCACAAAATACTTCCGCATCCAGTGGTACTATTTTCAGTAATTTCATTACATTTGAAGATATGGCTAGTACTCTATTAATAATGATGCAAATTAGTCAAAATACATGTACACTAACAGGAGAATATGGGAATCTAAGAACCAAATTATGTATCAGATAGGGCCATCCAAATCGCTATTACGTGCTTTCTCATGTAGTACTTTGTCATCTTTTCTTATGAATTGTGCAACTATCAAAACATATCCGCTCACATTGTGGAACTTTGTACTAGTATAGTTTGGTTCATGGTGAACAAAAAATAACGAAAATATAGCGTCCATATCCACAAAAAATTCTCTCCAAGTATTCAGAGTTACATTGACCTAGTGTTAAGCATGTGGGAGTTATGACCCCTTATCTTTATACGTGTATGGCCTCTCTGTCGTCGTTTGACGTCATAGAACAAAATCCTTTTTCGACATTTATTGCGAGTCATTTTTAAGATTGAGCGTATACCGTTATGCATAAGCACACACACCCATTTCATATATACTTATGTCGTTCAGATATCAGGCTGTATTTTCTTCGCTCACACTTTCCGTAACGATGCCAAATTAAAAAAATCGTAGCTCAGTGCTTTCATCAATACACAATCAAAAGCGGAGATATTTACTGCTTTTTAACGCATAACAAAGATTTGGACAACATATAACAGTGTCTATTTCTCAAACTGCCGAGGTAGGTCCACTTATATTTAATACCAACGGATAGGAAATTTAATAGTTTACATTTCTATGTA